TTGTTGGAGGGATTTTTGAGGCAGTTTTTTTTTTTTTTTTTTTTTTTTTTTTTTTTTTTTTTTTTAAAGTTCACAAAATGATCGGAAATACATTGAGTCGTTCTTAATCAGAGTGATATTTTTAAACATCTATACTCATTACTCATAATGAATTAATAGGACATATTATAACATTACTTAGATTTTTTTTTTGTCAAATTTTGCATCCTTGCTGAATAAAAGTCTATTTCAAATAAATTAGGTTCTTTTCAGCTTTCAGTTCATCAAAGAATCCTGAAAAATTTATAGTTTCCACAAAATTAGCGCAACGGTTTTTAACATTGAAAATAAAAGGAAATGTTTCTTGAGCAGCAAATTCGCATATTAGATTGATTTCTGAAGTATCATGTGACATTAAAGACTGGATAATGTACTGCTGAAAATTCAGCTTTGCCATTAGAGGAATGTCTTTGATTAAAATATATTTGTGTGTGTGTATATGTGTGTGTGTGTGTGTGTGTGTGTATATACAGTGGGTACGGAAAGTATTCAGACCCCCTTAAATTTTTCACTCTTTGTTATATTGCAGCCATTTGCTAAAATCATTTAAGTTAATTTTTTTTCCTCATTAATGTACACACAGCACCCCATATTGACAGAAAAACACAGAATTGTTGACATTTTTGCAGATTTATTAAAAAAGAAAAACTGAAATATCACATGGTCCTAAGTATTCAGACCCTTTGCTGTGACACTCATATATTTAACTCAGGTGCTGTCCATTTCTTCTGATCATCCTTGAGATGGTTCTACACCTTCATTTGAGTCCAGCTGTGTTTGATTATACTGATTGGACTTGATTAGGAAAGCCACACACCTGTCTATATAAGACATTACAGCTCACAGTGCATGTCAGAGCAAATGAGAATCATGAGGTCAAAGGAACTGCCTGAAGAGCTCAGAGACAGAATTGTGGCAAAGCACAGATCTGGCCAAGGTTACAAAAAAAATTCTGCTGCACTTAAGGTTCCCAAGAGCACAGTGGCCTCCATAATCCTTAAATGGAAGACATCTGGGACGACCAGAACCCTTCCTAGAGCTGGCCGTCCGGCCAAACTGAGCTATCGGGGGAGAAGAGCCCAAAGATCACTG